ACGCCAAACACCGCCGACGTCATAACCGAAGAGAGCAGCGCTGTTAAAGCACAAAGCCATGCGTATTTTACGCTTCATTTTGACGAACATGACACGCCGAACCATCGGCGATGAGACGACATTTACATGTTGAGTTGGGTTACAGACGCTGAAGGTATACATTTGCGTTCAACAGGCAAACGAAGTGCGCTTGCGGGCGTCGCTGCCAACTTGTTTCAGCTTTTGAATATGTAAATTAATTCGAGTTCATACAACCACACAATTTAAAAATCCATATATGCATAAATAGATTATAACAAAAACTGGATGATGGGAATGGTGAAGATGACCAACAAGAAACCCCAAAAAGAGCCAAACGAAAATAAATAAATTAAAAATTCCAAAAAGTATTTAAAAAAACATTCAGATCTTAAGCAAAACAAACAAATTAGAGAAATGTATATGTTACAGTTTTTAAAATATTGCGGCCTACAACAAATAGTCGAAAGCTACACCACTTATACATAACTAACATACATGAATAAAAATAGTATGCATGAGAAGAATAGCTGACGCATAGCTTTAGTAGAGCCGCTTTCAAGTTTTAGCCGCAAGTGTATAAGCTGAATATACCGTTCGACGTCATTGTAAGCAGTAAGAAAATTGATCTTCAAGTCGCTTCAAACTTTGATCATTTCAAGTTAAACTGTTCCATTAGCTGGCCAACTGAGCTGAGAATCGCCGGCATAACACTTCATGTCATTTTGTAGTTGTGCCTTTGGACTACCTGCTGCTACCGCTGGTGATGCATTAGCGTTACATACAAACATATATGCACACATACTTTTAATTTGATGGACGAGCTTTCCTGCTGTTTGAATTCATTTCGTCTCGGCATTTTGCAGGCAGATTCTTCTTATGTCCAGCATGACGTTTTGCTGCCTCATCACATACATAAGTACACACTTTTTACCGTAGAAAATTATATATTTTCGTATATGTCGTACGTGTATGGTATAAACATATACGTACATATGTATGTCATTGAAGTACTCATATCTTGTGAAACCATTCTGTCTCGAGGCCTTCAAAACTAACAAGGAATTATCACAAATGCATCCAAAAAAAAATACAACAATTATTATGTGGGTTATTAGCATATACAATAAAAGTTAAACTTTAACTTTATCTTTAACTTAACGTTAACTTTAACTTGAACTTAAAAGTTAAACTTAAGCTAAAACTATTAAAATTGCATGCAAATGTAAACTTAAATAAATTAAATTAAATAAATCTAAAAGTACTCAAATTAATCTAAGCATGTACACACAAGTATATATTAAATTTTTACATCGTATCCGATTATACTCAGTGGCGTACTCTCTCCATCCTTTAAAAGTTTTCACTTTTATGTAAACAAATTAGCCTTTTATTCAACTTGAATAAGCAGCTAATTGCTGAGATAATAAATCTTGTTTCGACGCTGGCAAAACGGCCGACTCCATCAAACGCACACATATACTGTTAATCAAGTAAGTACTCATACTTATTAACCCAAACAAATTTCAATTCTACTGCACAAAGGTGCTGAAATCTCACTAAAAATGCGGAAAACTGAGTAATTAACGGTGTTCAAATCCAAAATACAAACACATATACAAACGAAGCATGAAGAGAAGAAATTTTCGTTAAAATTTCACTGACGGCGATCATCTTTCTTGATCACGACACAATGTGAGCTCGGCACAGGTGCGAGTTCGTAGAATGAAAAGCACATATAAATGTATATATACAATTGAGTTAAGCGAATTTCTATAAATTACGGTTCATTAATGCTCACTTAGAGCGTTATGAATAAACGCTATGTATATAAATAAATAGCTGTATTTTGTATTCATGCGCGTTTGTGTTCATTTAGCAGCGCATTGTTATTTATATGCAGGAGAAGAGGAAAATTAATTAAACATTAATCATGTTAGCTCTGTATGTGTATATATTGGATTTCTTTTTGTATATGTATGCGTTTGTATTTAGTATATACTCGTATTGCATAAAAAAAGAACAGCTAGGAAGTTATACATGAAGCGCGCTCTTTAAATGAGTTGAATAAAAGCAGACAGGGTGACTTGGAAACAAACTACGCATATGTGCGTATATGTATGTGTCCATATATGGTAAAACAGTTCGCGAGTCAAATCTGGTCAATTTGCTTATCGTTTTTGTGCATTTTTTATAAAAAGTCTTTCTAATTTGCAGAATCAAGACTTTTATATTTTCGATTTAACATATATCTTAGACAATTTCGATTTAACATATATATATACGAATTCGTCTACAGCTTGGTTAATTAAAAAAGTATAATAAACGAAGCTTCAAATAATTTTTACATAACACACATTAAAATGCATAAAAAATAAAGGTAACGGTTATTTTTAGCAGTCCCATGCTATCCAGATTTGGCGCTGCCAATTTGGGGTTCATAACTTCAGCAACTTTATTATAATTGTTTGCTTCTATTAGACAGCTAGTAACCACAAGCCATGCTTAGCGCAATGCCCGCAGAGTTTGTTAGCTTACTTTTTCTAAATCTGATAAGTATTATATTTTATTAAGTCGAATAAAAGAGCCTCTTCTCATTTCATGCTAGTTGCGCCGCATGTGTCCTTGCAGACGAAGTTGTATAGCCCGAGGCGCTTGTCAGAATTCTTTATAAAACACATACCTCTGTCTATATGTTTTTATTTCATGCACAATAAAAGCTTACAGCAAATAACCACATAGTAAATCACAAGCGCTATACTGGCAAAGCAAGTCAGGTTCGTCGCTTAAGTCTTCGGTTTTGCACAAAACAAAACCTTTGCTTGTATTCCCGGCCATTCTTCGCCGATTTGTTGTTGTATTAATGTAGCAAAAACTACTCGCTTGTAGTAAAATCTTTTTGTTTTCACTTACATTTCATTTTATTTGCTGAATTTTGTTGCTTTTGTTCTTACTTCGACTTTTTGCCGCCCATTCATTGGCTTACATTGCATTACAATGCCAAAAATTATCTCGCACTTATATTCAGTCTTAATTGGCATTGTTGCGCACATGCGCATACACACATATATACACATAAATATATTCACGATATCTTTTATCTTGACTCAATTTTTCATACCCTTTTTTTATTATTTTTTATCTTTTCCATTTTTTATTCCCAATTTTTTCTGCTTTTTGCGCTCGCCTTTATTCTTATACAAAAATTTGGCAATGACACTTGCGGTCAAAATATGCTCAACCGAAAATCAAGTTAATTAGCTCCAAAAATGGGTGAGCATACGGAAAATAACTGACCATGCAGACCCGTCATGTCGAGCGGCATTCAGGCATACAAAAGCCGTCGACCAGACAGGCACGATTGTGTATATGGATGCGTATGTGCATGTTTGCTGTAGGTTTTGGTATGTGGGGCGTTGCCCGAAGGTTATATTTGTGTCAAGGGGTGTCTCATTCTTCGGTAATTTTACCTTGACAGGACTACATTTGGTTTTTTTTTTTGTTATCGGGCGCTTTTGTGTGAGCTCGTGAGGGAAATTAATACAAAGAAATATGTATAAGCATTTCGATATTATAAAGCCTTACTTGAGCAGTTTATAGATTATATATGATTAGTCCAGAAATACGGTTAAATTGCTTCTGCTGATGTGTTATAGAAGTCAAAAGTTAGAATGTCTAAATGAGAAATGTAACTTTAATACATTGACTATACGGTTTTAATTTGGCTCTTTACCAATAATTTTTTTTTTTTTTTTTTTTTGTTAACCCAATGCACTTGACTCCAGAACGCAGTCATCATAAGTTGTATCCCCGCAATTATAAATTTATTTTTTAAGCAAAGTAAAGAAATTAAATTAATATATTTTGGTATTAATAGAATTAAAAACAAGAAAACACGTTTATTTCGGTTGCACTGAAGCTATAATACCCTTCACAAATAGAAAATATTCCTTACAAGAACTTGATTTTGAACAGTCAGTTTGCATGACAGCTATATGCTACAGTTATGCGATCTGAGGAATTTCTTCGGAGATTGCACCGTTCCTTTGGGCAATAACCCATACCGAATTTCTTGTCAATACCTCGTTAGATACAAAAGTTTTCCATATTTAGATCGTTCATTTTGTATATGGCAGTTACATGCTATAGTGGTCCGATTTCGGCTTTTCCGACTAATGAATAGCTTCTTAAAGAAAAAAGTACTTGTGTAAAATTTCGGATCGATATCTCAAAAACTCTAGTTCCTCAGTTCGCGTATATGCAGACAGGCAGACGAACAGATAAACCGAGATATCCACTCAGCTCGTCACGCTCATCATTTATATGTATATTTTATAGGATCTTAAATGTTTTATTCGGGGTGTTACAAAATTCGTTAATTGTGCAGGGTATAACTATGAAATTATTTATTAAAAATGTATAAGCTAGTTTCAAATGCGGTGTATAAATTCATATAGAATATCTCCGCTTGCATACAAGAAATGAATGAGAAAGCATACAAATTAAGTTATTAATAAACAAACGAGCACAAAATAAGAAAAATAGCAAAAACTTCTCCTATTCGAAGCAAATTAATATAATTTATAAAGTAATACGACTATATAAATTTCAAATATTAATGTTTAATAAAATCTTCATACAAAATTAAGCGAGCGTAGCTAGAGCATGTTTTGTCAGCGACGGCTTTGCTACTAACGAGTTCAAATATAATTTGTGCAAAAAAATTATTTCTTAATATTTTTCCGAATTTTTCATAAAAAGATAATAATAATCACAACAATTAAATTGTTTTTAAAAATACAATTATTCAAGCAATTAACATTAAAATAGAAGAGTCCTACAGATGATAAACAAATTATGTAAATTACGCCGGCCAATCGAGTTATGTGCCACACACAACTGCTAAACAAAAATCAACAACAAAATACTCTTAAAACCAAAATCAATTTATTTTAATTCTTCTTCTCTTTGTCTTATTTCAGTTGTGTGGTAGCAAATATAAACAAAAGCAAAGTATCTCAAATTCATCTCTAACTTTAATTCACTCTGGCTGCTACGCTGCATGCCGATAAAGCGCCAAGAACAAATTGAAGTGCGCCAGCAGAATTTCATGATGCCCAGGCATGCACCTTAATTACCATTAAAACCGAATTATCGCAGCAGACGCGTTAAACACCAATAAAAATAAATAAAAAACAAATTAAAAGCTTTCGAGTTATTTTCCATTCAAGTGCAATATGCTCAACGCTGCAACAGGCAACAACAACATTACCTGAGCTATCAAAAGTAGAGCAACTATGCGGGAAACCTGATGCGGGAGACCGATGCAGACGATTGATTTGTGGCGTGAAGCGGTTAGTAGCTAGCTGATAACGACAAACGCAAAGTGGTAAGTGTGGACACATGCTGACAAATAATAGCAATTAATTTTTTTAATAGTTTGCTTCAACATTTTTACTGCTCTCTGTTATTTGGTCAATACTAAAATTTGTCTTAGTCCGTTATGCTTTAATATTTGCTGTTGTTAAAAAGACTATAAAAAGAGAAAAAATATAACAAAGTATGAAAGCATTTGTGTATATAAAAAGAGAAAGAATAAAACAAAGAATAAAAGCTTATGTGTATATAAAATGTTCACATATAAAGAAAGATAAGAGCTTTTTCTCAAAAAATTTGTTGCAGCAAGACAGCTAACTATTTTCACAAACATTTCTTAATAACTAACTAAATTTCATGATGATTTGTACGAAAATATTTTTCAAAAAAAAAAATATTTTTTTCAAAATAAAATATTACAAAGTTTAGCTTCTCTAAGAGACACAAAAAAGTCAAAAATTAATACAAATATAATATAGCCTGGGAATAGAGAATCTGAGAATACTAAATATTTAAGCAAAATTTCTGGCCAGTCTGCTACTCTGTTCAGAAATCTAACCTTCCGGTTCCAAAATTAAATTGCAAGAGACATTTTTACTATACCATATAACACAGAAGGTAAATCTAAACGGTCAGTATGACAATTGATGAATATATGAAAATTCAATAATAATGTTTTTATAACACATATACATCAATGAAGTCATGACCAAAATTTCAACGAACAAAATACAAAATTAGCACACAAGTTGTGACTATAAAAAAAAGTGTTTTAAATATATGTGCATACTAGGGTGAATCAAAAAAAACTCAATATTTTTTTTCGCTTGTTTTTTTCGCAAATTAGTTAATTATAATTAGTCCTCTACGAAAATCCCTTAAAGTATCTCTTAACATAATTCTAACGGTAAGGTGCTCCGCCTTGCAGTTGTATATTTTTTCGTATTACCAGATAGAAAACTTCACATCTCACTTCAAACTGCCTGAAGAAATATCTCGTTTCATAAATTTTGTCGGAAATCGAATGCTCTACAAAATGGTTTCTCACTGTTTTTTCGTAAACTTAAGAGGGTATTCTAGTCTAGAGACATCAATTTTAGGTAATTTTCAAAGTGTCGTAAAATAAAGACAATCAATATTTTTACCATAGATTTTTTGATCAGTTATTTATTAATGTTACAAAAGTACAGAAAAACTAAAAAAATAAAAGAGTTTAAATTTAAAAAAACTGGCAGCTGATGAAGTGGGCGTCTCAAAAAATCGCCACATGAGCATACCCTTGATTTCAACCCTCCTAGTCATCTGATATGAAAAAAATAGTATCGATCTGCAATAATGTCGCAATTGTATAAACTAGCGATAAGTAAAAAGAAAATAATTGACAAAATGGCGACTGTTTGAAAAAAATATATATTTTTTTTACCATTTTTTATTTTTCCGTATATTTTTTTTTAAATAGTAAAATCTGAAATTTTGGAATGAGGCTAGTTTATATTGAAGAGAGGTCTATATAGAAAATTCTCTGAAAAATTCAAATAAATCGGACCAGTAAAACTTGAGAAATCGTGGATATTGCGTTGAAAAAGTCTGGTTTGAAAAAAACACATTTGAAGTTTCGCATAAAATATTTTGTTCGATTAGACCCAGCCGAATCAGTTTAGAGGCCGGGTCAGTAAAATTCCTATATCTCCGAAAGTAATTTCAAATTTCAAAAACCCTCTGGTAGACATATTCTTAAATAGTTAAACTTTGAAAATATGAAAATAATCGATTTTTTTGAAATTTTTGAAAAGTTATTAAGGGTTAAAATTTTTTTATCAAACTAATTTTATAACCCAATGAACAAAGTCATTTAAAGTTGCAAATAAAGTTGTTAATAAATAACAAAAACTATTTTTCATAAGTCTGCTTTATTCCTTCACACAAAATTCATATGGAAACTAGAGTACTAGATTATGCTGGAAACTAGTTTACGGAGTTTCTCTTCTTAGTTTATTTACCATGTGTATGCGTATATATATATATGTATGTATGTATATTCATATACAATGTATGCATTTCTAATTCAAATATAACACGTTTAGCCGATCTTTAACGAACTGCTAGCAAGCAGTGTTTGCAGCAAACAAATAATACATACCTACACAAACATATGCACAACAGATTTTGCAAGCATAGACTATTTGAAATCGCTCGTTGACTTCATACAGCTTGTTATTGTTTTTGTGTGAAATTAATGAATGATTTCGCTTTTGTATAAATAATCATATGACAAATTTTTCAAAATTAATCAACGCTATCAGCATGAAATATTAGATGACAACGCACACGCACACATATATGCTGTAGGTATGTATGTATGTGTTTATTTGTGCCAACTGCTGCAGCGCGAAATTAAATTCGCTAGGTAAGCAAGCACGTTATTAAAATGACACAAAAAGCATTTAAAACTGATTTTATAATAATTAGTTTGAATTGGATATATTTTGAATTTCGTTACCGGCTAATTTCAGCTGTTCAATCTGGTTTGCGAACACCCAACGTAAATTGTTTGAGACGCTTGGTCGCTGAGTTGTTTGCTTTGTCGCTTACAGGTTCTCGCAAACGAGCTAAGGTTTTTCAAGAATCCAATAAAAAAAAAATTTAATTAAAATAATATTAGGAAAAAGTTTAAAAAAATGTTTGGAAAAAATCTTCCAGCGACGTGCTAGACTCACTGGCTCAGTGGCAGATTTCTTTGATTTTTTTAATTTTTTTAATTTTTTGTTAAATGTGATTGACCACAACTTTTATATGAATACATGAATATGTTTGCCGAACTTGTTGTATATTTAATTAATTAAGCTACATAGCATGTGTGAAATATAGACATGTAACATATGTATGTGTTTTTGTAAAAAGAAAACACGTTCTCATAATTTTATTATTTAAACTTTGTTTTAGATTTCAGTCACGCTCTGTAAACCGCTCTATTTGTGTATCTGCAATAAAAATTAAACTTCTACCAAAAAGTTCAACATTTAATTAAGTCAAGTTATATTTTGTACCAAATCGACTGTTTTTGCTTAAATAGATTTTCGCTAAACTACACTATAATGGCTTATGCACCCATCAAAGTCAACCTACTGGAATTATGAGTAATAAATGTCATCTCGTGCGCTAGTGCACCCATCAGTTCGGCTTCTAATTTATGACATTTAACTTAGTATGTGATAATTTTATTCATTTCGGTTTTTATATATGAAAAAATGAGGAATAAATAATGCAGATGCGGAAAACAGGTCTGTGATTATAATGCGAATATAGCTACGGTTGATAATAAATCTGCAGAACACTTTAGTTCAAGTGAATATAATAAATTCGATAAATTTTTGATTCAAAAACCATACAAAATTACTCCAAATACACATGCGTATTAGCATAAGCAACTTTTGAGAAATAGCTTGACTTGAAGCTAGCTAGTAGCCGCAATTTGCTGTAATTACTGCATAGCTAAAGTGTACTACTTAAAAGAAACAAACTTATTTCTGCCAGTACTGCTGTCAAAAGTCATACTTAACTGAATCTTTCTCCATTTTAGCTTCAAAGCTGGAATCTTAAATAGCCCTCTATATCGATTGGTACTTGGTGGTCGATTGGGATTGGTGAATACTTTATTACGCGCGGTTTGCAACATGTCAAATTTAATTACAGTCATAAATTGTTACACAAATTGCTGTGGTAACACTTTATGAGTAGAATTGACAGCTCAGTATGTCTGTCACTTGTCAATTATGTTACTGCGTAATTTTGTCACAATTGGCAACTTATTGCCATTTCTACAATTATTCGCTATTTGACAATTTAGTGTCATTGAATTTGCCAATATCAAAAGTGCGTTAAGCTGTCACACTTAAATAAAACATGTTCTTAATACAAATGAAGGTTTCGAATACAGCGCCATTTTTCGAACATATAGTGGTTCTATTACTCTATTTTTTATATCGATTGTAAAACGATTACTAAATATGACTCGAAATGCTTTCGATATTTTTTCTGCAAATTGCACACGTATATTTAGCTTTTCATTTCTGCAATATTAAGTCCACAACATTTTTTTCATAACCTAGTCCTCATCAAATTACCTTCACTAACAATAAAATGCAAATTAACTGAAAACCCATAAAATAATTACTTACATAAGCAATTAAAAAATCTAAGTCAAATGTATAACAACAACAACATGACAAAAGTAATCGTTGAAAGCATTTTCTGGAACAACTGCCATAAAACTGTTGTATAGAAGTTTAATTTCTCTCAAACCACTGCGCTTCCTGGCAACAATTGACCTCGCAAAGGAATGCTGTAGCACGTGCTCAATTGCCACAATAAAAGCAAAGTGACCACTTAAGACATAAGTGTAACGAATAACAACAAAGAGTCGTGAAGCCGCCTGCTGTGGCAATAATTTTGCTGCGAGCCTTAATTGTCTTTGATATTTTATGACAAATCCTGTTGGAAAATTCGAATTGACATTGTTGTGGTTTGCGTTATTGCGATTAATATAGCTTTACGTCTCGTATAACATTTCACTTTTGTAGGTTTCCGTCCGTTAACTGCTGAAATTAGAGCATTTATACTAATTAGATCGGCCACAAAAATAGTCAGTGATATGGAAATGCTGAACATGAGAGTAAGAAACCAAAAGGATAGAGAAAATCGTTAATCTTAATAAGCCATCGAAGTTATATTTGTACAGTTTTATTAAAGGAAATAAAGACATCTATCGTATTTGACTCTAGTAACAATTTGAGAAATATGTATAATTTTTGAAAATTATTAGTTTTATTTTCAACATAATTATCATTACCATTTTTTTATAATTACAAATCTTGACGCTACCTATATATTATATATTATCGTAAGTATTTTCATAGCCCATATCAATAGCATTACCTTTATTACTCAATCCATATCAATATGATAACATCACATCTACTCGTATTTGCTATTACCATTTACTTTAATAATATT